AACCAATCGGTTGTTCCGTGACTGGTTCTAACTGTTGCTTCTTGGCCCGCATACAGATTTCTCAGGAGACAGCTAAAAGCAAAATATAATCACAGATCATGCAGTGTACCAGACAACAGTCAACCATTTAACTGGATAATGGATTTATTCTGGGATAATGATAAACAAAGCAATATAATACAAAATTGTGGAACGTTTACAAACTAATATTAGTTAGATTAGGTCAGGCCCAGTCCTGGAGGATATTTGGACAAATGCCTGCTCCAGTGATGCTCTGCAGCTTTACCAAGAAGATTCCTGTAATTTTGATTCCATCCATCCACCTCCCTCCTAAGATTAATTTCCTCTTTACTCCCTCTTTACTTCTTGACTCCTTTACACTGTCCTTCTTTATTCTTGAGGCCAATTAGGTAAAGCTGTTTATTGCTCACTCCCAACTGCAAATTGTTACTCGCTGCCTACTGTAAGTTCATTAAACTTTCTAGTTTGTATTTTTAATATTACCCCATATTTTTCACTTTCCATTTTTGCTCTTATAATGAGCTAAGTCTTCTTTATTTTCAGCCAACAATTGGTGTCATCAGTGTAATGTTTTGATCACTAATTTTGATTCCATCTCTTCTAATTTGCCATTCTTACAATATATCCACAGTATGAGCTAAACATACTATACAGAGGGGCAATCTGCATCTTTATCTCACTCCTGTTTATTTTAAACCACTGATTTTCTGTTTCTCTAAACCGAAGTCCTATAGTATCCTCTTGCTCACTGCAAATGTTCCTCAGAAGAATGATGATGTGCTCTGGCTCTTCTATGACCTTTAATATATTCCACATTTGGTCATGATCTATACAATTCAAAGGCCTTGTTGAAGTAATAAGGCAAAGCTAAATCTTCATATATTCTCTTGCTCTTTCCACTATCCATTTTATGTTAGCTATTTGATCTCATATCCTTTTACCTGTTCATTTGGCATTTTGCTGTCCATGTATATTTCTAATATTCTTTGTAAGATCTTAAGCAAAATGTTGTTTGTGTGAGAAATTTAAAGATTTGGTAATTTACACATTCTCTTGCATCCTTCTTCTTTGGTAGAGGTATATATACCAATCTTTCCAATCTCTGTGCCGCATGGTCTTGCTCCATGGTTGTTGACATAGAGTTGTTAGCAATGTAACTGCTCCTTCTTACCCAGCTTTAAACTGTTCAGTGGCTATTTCATCCATAATTAGTGCTTTTTTATTTAACAGCTGATTTCTTGCCCCTTGAAGCTCATTTTCTAGTGGAGCTGCTTCCTGAACATCTTCCCTCTCTAAACATTTTCCCCCTCTCATAAAAGTTTACCATTCTTCCTCAGCAACTGGAAGAGTGTATTCTAACATGGGTATGACAGGGAAGAGTATGTCTTGTCACCCAGAATTGTCTAAATATTTCAGCCATGTCCATATAATCTTCTCACCATTGGTGGAAAAGTCATTTGTCATTGTCTTCTCCATGTTCAGGTTTGAAGTGCCTTCTCTTGGTGTAATGGGGTGTGAGAATAACACAGGAGAGGACACAGGAAGAAGAACCGTAGCCAGGGCAATGGTCACATAAGAGATATCTCAGCCCATAGAAGGAATGGGAGTGAAGAAAGCATCTCATAAGGGACCTACTCCCTAGAAAAGTAAAGGCAAGGGAGGGGAGAAATGCTTTCAGAATTGCAAGATTCTGTCACTATTACCTTACAATAAAGGTAGTGTTAGTATTCATGGCTTTGGTTTCCTGACTGGACTACCTCAAAGGGCTGACACTTGGTGAATTAGCTTCCTATATGCTTGCAGAGCCCTGTCAGTCCTCATCCCCACTGTGGCTTGCCCTTAGCTTCACTTTTAACCAAAAAAGTGACCATTACCTGGAGTTCCCACTACTGCCAACATCTTTGTCAGGGTTAATAGCACATCAGTTATAATCCCCTGAGTTTGGGGGAGATCATTCTGCAAGATGCCTGAATTATTTTTTCAGTGGGCTTTAAGGACCTTCCAGCCTCACAATGAGAAGAAGATTTAATGTAGCAAATACTGTATTTGCTTGAAAGGAAGATGACTGATTTAAGATGATCATCCCCAAAAGGAAAATTAGACAGAAAAAAAACCTCATCCACATCCATTACCATATGCTCAGGAAATCCAAGGTGACCTCCTTCTTTTAAAGATAAAGCTTTAGGTAAATATAGCATTTTCTTGCCTTTGACATGATAGATGTAGTATTACCTCACACTGTGTGATTTGAAGCTGGAGCTGGCTCTGTTCCAAGACACTAGGGTAACAATCTGAGGCAGCAGATGCTGAGGGTACCAAGTAAACACAGCCATGAGTCACATGACCTGCCCTCTATCCCCAGAGCTAAGCTGCTGCTTTCAGGTGAGCTGGGGAATGCTGCTCTGTGGCCAGAGTAATGCTCGTATTTCAGCTAACCGGTTTCTGAACAGGGGATAAAGCAATATTTTGCTGTTCAACTCAAGCATCAAACTGTCTTTGCCCAGCCTAAGCATGCTTATTTGAGAGAAAGTGAACTAAGGCTTGCTTTCCCTTCCTGTCCAAAATAAACATATATTTAGGAAAAAGCTAAAGGAGCACAAACGGTGATGCTATTAAGTGCAACACTTGAGGATGTGTTCCTTTTGCTTAGTTTCAGATCTCAAGCATCTGCACTAAATTATAAGTGTCTTACATTTTCTTAGGGTGACCTTCTAAAATCTGCTCCAATCTTAACGTTAGTTCTAATATTGATTTTTGCTAGTGTTGTTCCTGTTTATGAGTGTGTATCATTCATTTGAAGGGCTATTTCTGCTCTAGAGCGCAGCAAGGCTGAAATGCAAGCTCTATTGCAGAGGGAACTCTTCACCATGACATTTCGTGGGATCGGCCAGTTTAACAACAAAGTGATTTACGTTAAAATGTCAGCAGATGAACAGCAAATGCTAAGCAAAATTGCAGGTTAGTATTCAAATATTCACCATTTGCGCAAGACTGAGTAGTTGCTGAAATGCTAGCTAGAATTATTAATGTGTTGAATTTGTATTTAAGTGTCTTTTTCTCCTGAACAATTACATTCTTTTGATACGTATTACATTACTTATATTTGCTTTGGCATCCATTCTCCCTTCTGTTCCTTTATCCCTGGAGCCCCTTTTTCAAACACCTAGTGATGCTAGAGGATTAGTATCCCAGTTAGTTTAAAGTCTATTTGATTTATGAGCAAGGATAATGTAGCCATAACGGTCTTTTTAAGTATGGAAATGAGATATATCCAGAAGCATACAAAAGTTTTGGTCTGACTTGGTTGCAGATATGCATGACTGGATTCTCATGTCATTGAGGTAAGTGGTGAATGAAATTTTCCTGTCAGTGCGCAAGATAATAAATAGCTATTTTTCCTAACTGTTTAAAGCTTGAATAATTCCATATTCCATATTACATACATGGTTGAGGTAATTACAATAAAACCAACCCTCACACACAGGAAATAAAAGCCAGTGAATATCTTAAAGAAATGGCATGATGTCTTCATATTGCTGAATTCTGATCAGTGCTCTTACTGTCAGCCCTACAAGGTGGAGCAGACCAAGAAACTGATGTCACGTGTGCCTAAAACTACTTTTATTAATACTGGCTAAAGTCACAGAATCTTGCAAGTCTGAACGTGCTTCTCCTTCTCTCTTGTATCTTCATGTGAATTCAAGGGGTGTCTTCATACTGCCCTCCCTCATCTGGGGTTAAGCAATATTCATCTGTTAATTGCCTTGTAATGGATCTTCCCTCTCCCTGTCAAGGTCATCCTCTTTACTCTCTACACTTAGTGCAGCATTCTCTATTAACTGAAAATTCTGAACTATCTTCAAGGGCAGCCTGATATATAACACACTACAGTAGTCTGAGTGAGAAGTTACAAGGGAATGGATTATTATACTAAAGTTGTCTCTAACCAAGTTCACATCTGGGTGAACCAGCCTAAGCCACTGAAAGGTGCTTTGCATCATCAAGGCCAGTTGTGTCTCTAATGACAAGGATGGATCCATAACTCCCAAGCTATGAACTCAATCCTTTGGGGATGGGAGTCAAGAGCAGGTTGATTTCTACAAACCTAGTCAGATAAATTAGTCACCTTCAGCATCTCTGTCTGTCTGGATAGACCTTCAGCTTGTTGGCTCTTACTCAGTCCATTACTGCAGCCAGGCAATTCAGCAATTCTTTTGCCTCACTTAAATCTGATGAAAAGCAGAGATAGCTTTAAGTATCATCAGCATGTTGATGACATTTTACTTTAAATCTCTGGATGTTCTTCAGTAGTTTCAGGTAAATATTGAACAGCATGGGGGATAAAACAGAACCTTTTTGAACTTTTGAGTGTGAACATAGAGGGTCAAGCAGAAAAATCTAAGAACCACGTTTTTGAATATTGCCAGCCAGATATGAATGGAACCACTTCAGGCTGTTCCACTCACATTTGATTTGGATAACCTCTCCAGAATGATACCATGGTCAATGATATTGAAGGTTGTTGAGAAGTCTGGGAAAATCATCAAGATTACACTCCCCCTGTGTCTCTCAGTAAAGGTAATCCTATAGTACTAAAGCAGTTTCAATGGCCAATCCAAACTGATCAGATCAGCCATCACCACTTGATCACCCACCACCACTTGAGCATCTTGTCCTGAAAGAAGATACTGGCCACCGACCTATAATAATTTAGACCTTCAAGGCCCAATTATGTTTCATTCCAGGAATGGTTTTATTATAGCCTACTTTAATTAGGCTGGCACCACTCCTTAAATGGAGCTATTTTGGAACTGCCTCTCTCCATCCTTGGCAGTAAAGATATAGTAACAACAGATTTATGTAACTAACATTTTCTGATCTTTCATGTTCCCCACAATCTGCCGCCTGAAGTGGCTACCTGACAGCAAGGTCAGTCCTATTGCTTAATGTATATTTTGTTCCTTGAGAAATAAAAGCTTGCAAAGAATTATTGTTATCTGAAAACTAATGGATGGAATAGTTGACTTTTTCTTCATGATCTTAGTCTTCTCCTCCCCATTCCTATGGCTTGAATTAATCTTTTATGAACAAGAGAAGATTCAATCATGGATCTCTGATGGATTCATCATCTCTTTAATCCTTAGGCTGTTGGGCTACAAGCAGTTCCCAATTCCTCTTTGTAGCCCCTAAATCCCTCTAATATTCAAATGAGTTTTTACTTGTAGCCAGACTAAGTAGCAACACTTAAACAACCTTGGCTTGTTTTGAAAAAACTAAGCAGGTTCAGACCACCACAAAATCTCAGGTTACACTGAGGGATGAAAGAAAGGAAGGAAGACAAGGGCAAACCTTTCCCATCCTTTGGCCAAAAAAGTCACACAAGATCGCAAGCTCAGTGTGATGGAATCTTTAGTTTTATCCTTAGCTCTCTAAATTGTACACTCAAAAGTTTCAGTATATGTTTGGAGTAACTCCCCATTTTATTTGGAGCTGTTTCCAAATCAATATGCATCTGAATGTTCTGTCAACAAATGTCTTAGTTTTCACTTCTTTTCCCTAGGAATTGTAGCAAACTCCTTTATGGAAATGAATGTTGATATCACAAGCAGCAGAGATTTCAAACCACACCTGACATTTCTAAAACTCTCCAAAGCTCCTGTGCTGAGACAGAAGGTAAATAAGTAGATTTAAAGCCTCATGCTTGTGCTTTGTTATTATTAGTTTCCTTGTGTCCTGAAAATATTTCCAACTTATTTTGAATTGCCACATTGAAAAGAATTTGGTAATTTATTCATTTGATTGCTATTCCTAACACACTGGAAGAACTGAAGTTGGTAAAGTAGGAACCAGTGGTTCCCAGTCTTGTCTCATGACTGTGAATAAGAGACCAGACAAATTTCCATTGACTCAAAAAAGCAGGAGAAAAGGCCTAAAATTTGAACCCTGAAGTACAGGCATATACTGTATATATTAGGCTTCTAATCTGATGTACTGGTATAGGCAGATCTTTCTGTGCCTCTCTGTGTATCTCTCTCTCTCTCTCCATTCTTTCTGCAATAAAGGATCTAATCTTGCAAGTCGTGTCTGTGAGGTTCTTGCCAAAAAACCTGTTCCAGAATAAGTGGTTGATGTTTGGCAAGCTGAAATTTTTGGCCATGCCTGGGAAAGGCCTGATACAAACGAATAAAACGAAGGGATGATTCATGGACTAGATTTTGATAAAAGAAACAATTACGTTTACCTGAAAAATGCATATTGCTGTAGATGATATCGGGTCCCCTCCCTCTCTCCTTTATTTCGTCCAATAATTTTTGTTCCATGTAAAAGTACTGAACAGATGATGTTCTAAACTGGGAGCTAGTTAAGCATTGTGTTTATTCTGTAAATTAAACACAGAATTGCAACTGACTTACATCCTTGTGATATATCACTTTTTATATACCATAACATAATGTTCTGAATGAAAAAAGACAGTACATATGAACATGACATGAAAACTTAACTCTTTTTAATGTGGAATTAGACCAACTTAAAAAGAGGGAGAATGATCGTGCTTCTAGTTCAAATTAGGAAAAAATGGTTTCATTGGATTCAGTCCCATCCAGCTGTAGGAATAATTTTTAATCTAATGGTTACTTCAACTGACAGAGTGGAAGGAGTTGGGATTCTTTTGCCTTTCTGCTGCCCTTTCCTGTGCTCCCTTGAATATATTGTTCTGGAAGGTGTCCATTTTCTGGAATATGCTGTGGTGCCGGGTCCTCTTCTGAGAAGATATTAAAAGCCATTCTGTGAGCAGACCAGGATTATTGCATTCAGCCTCTAAAATAATAAACATGCTACTAAAAATGGCATTGACTAGAACAATGGCAATGGAGACATGCTGAAATGAAGGTGCTGTAGTTGACTGCCTGAACACCACAGCAAGTGTTTTGGGTTTTGTTTTGTTTTGTTTTGATTTTTTTTTTTTTTTTTTGTGAAAGAGAATGAAATTAATTAGGTCATATCTCTTGCTATTGTAATGCTGCTCCTTTCTATCCCCTTTCTCAAAAGCTGGATTTTATGTGCTCCCTGCAAAAAAGGCAAAATCATAAGCCAAAGGTAGAACAACAGTGATTTTATGTCATAACAGCTATAGTGAGATGTTACAAGCAAAGTGCTTTAAAAAAAAAAATCTGGCACAGTCATGATCAGACAATGTCCAATTATTGCTATCTGGCTCCCCCTTTCAGCTGGAATGGCTATACAAATCCAGGCAGCTCTACTGGATCTCTGTCCCAACAAGCCAGACTTTCTGGTTCACTAAATACTATGCGTACCAGGGAATGCCATCCTGTTTGCTGGTTGGCTAAGTCGGTGTTCCAATGAATGTTGGCTTTAGTATGATGTCTCAGTGAAACCATTTTTTTTTATCCGCTCTCAATCGTTACCGATTCTGTGGTGACTGCCTGGACGAGTGCCTGCAGTTTTCAAGGCAAGGTGTTTCGGAAGTGGTTTGCCATGGCCGCCTCCCTAGAGCAGAGCCCAGTTGGTGAGCGCAGGAGGCAGGATTTCCGTTGCTTCGCACCTTTTTCGGGCGTGCGCGGCTTCCGCATTACTGGCAACTGCTCCCGTCTCCTTTGCAAGGCACTGCCAGCATTTTTCCTCCCACCGGGGTGAGAGTACCCATTTATCTACTCACGTACGTTTT